CTCTTAAGATTTGCAGGATGTAGAAACTAATGTTGCATCTTCTAGATTGAATGTTAAGAGAAAAAATGTTATTCCTAACTCATTGTATTTTTAGTGTTTATTTTTGGGTTATAATCAGTCAAAATGAGATTCAAAGATTGGTCAAAGAAGGTTTATTACCTAGTGAGGCAGAGGAGCCTAAACTAAACTTGTGAATCCTGTTTTGAATGATAGATAACTCTAAGGGCTTAATCAGCCAGATGGAATAGACATAAAGGATAATTGAAGTTAGTACACACAGACACGTGTGGTCTTATAAACATCCAAGCAAGATTACTCACGTTTTGGATAAATTTATCTGATACGACACAAGTCTTAAATTTTTGGTATATTCCAAAAGTGTCAAGACTGACGTGGAACACAGATTAGGTAAACTTATCAAAACACTTCAATCTGATCGTGGATATGAGTATTTCTTGGGATAGTGCAAAGACTATATAGTCAATGAGGGTATTGTGTACCAGTTTTCTGTAATTGACGCTCAATGGATTGAGGTGTCAAATAGGAATAACAGAATTTCCGCTTAACATGGTTAGATCTATGAACAGTTATGCTACATTATCTCTTTCATTTAAGAGTTTAGCGTTAATGATATCGATGCGCATTATGAACTGCATTCCATCTTAATCTGTCTCAAGGATTACCGTTTGAGCTGTGTTTTTGACTAAATCTTAGTTTGAATCACATACACATATGGGGTAGTTTTGCACATGTGCGCTTGATATAGACAAATAAGTTGGAAGCAGATCATAGGCATACTTGATTTGATGGCTACTCTAAATGCACTAGGATTATTTTATGATCTCAATGATAAAAATTGATTGTTTACATTCACTGTTTATCTATAAGAGGATCATATTATGAATCATATACCTAGTAGCATAGTGTTAGAGAATATGGTATGAGTACCAGGTGTACCGCAGATGAACACACTTATTATAGAAATTAAGAATAATATATGAATTCCCTATTGATGCGTCAGCATCATCTAGTACACAGCTTCCTGCATCGATACATTGATGTAGTAGGAGGATTATCACCCAATCCGACAGAATCATGTTTTTAGGTGAGACCGTTATGGACATCCCTGTTAAACATGAGTGAGACCCAGTAAGCTACACGGAAGCGTGAACCGATATGGATACAGATCGTTTTGGCGAGTTACTATGAAATCAGAGTTGGAATCTATGTATTCTAACAAATTCTGGGATCTTGTAGAACTTTCTAGTAGGGTGATACCTATGGAAGGCAAGTTAATCTACAAAAAGATACCAGAAGATTTTTTAGTGAATAAATCATGAGTGTACAATGGAATGTCATTATTTTTCTGATTCTATATATATTGATGACATCCTACTCATTAAGAATGATGTGGAAGTCTTGTCATCAATAAAGAGGTAGTTGTTCAATTACTTTTAAATAAATGATTTTCAAGATGTAAGCTATATTCCTAGGATCAAGCTTTTGCAAGATCAGGTTAAAAGAAAAATAGGCTTATCTTAATAATCCTACATTGATAAAGTTTTGACCAAGTTTGGTATACATAACTCAAAGAATGAGTTCTTGCTTTATTGATATGAATTGCTCTCTCTAGTAAGTAGTTTTCCAAGACTAGCAGAGGAGATTGAACAAATGAGACTGGAACTATATGCTTTGGCATATGGGAGTCTCATATATGCCATGGTCTATACCAAACAGGACATCCGCTACATTGTAGGGATAGTCAGATGATATCAGTCCAATCCTGGACTTGATAACTGGTCTGTTATGAAAAATACCATTAAGTACCTAAGGAGAATCAATGATATCATACTCATTTATGGATGTGATAATATGGTCCTAGTCAAGTATGCTTATTCTGATTTTCAATCAGAAGTAGATACTATGAGGTTCATGACTTAGTGTATGTTCACTTAATGGAAGGGAAATCAGTTAGTAGATTGTTAAGCAGATTTCAACTGCTGACTTAAACGTGCAGGTGGAGTACATTGCAGCCTTAAAGGCGGCAATGGAAGCCTTTTTGGTTTGATCTCACTGATTTAGAGGTTGTGGAGCATATTAGCCTGCCTATCGAGCTATATTGCGACAATAGTGCATAAGTAGTCCAAACCAATGACCCAAGGTTCCATAGAGGAACAAGATATACTGAGAGAAAGTATCATGTTTTACATGATATTGTCCGGCAAGAAAATGTATTCGTGGCCAGAACATTGCATTGGAACACAACTTCTTTGATCCATTAACAAAGGTGTCATTGATCAATAATTTTGATCGTCATCTGGATAACATTGGAGTTAGATGCAATTTGAATTGGCTATGAGGGCAAGTGTGAGTTGTTGGGATTTATATGCCCTAGCATAGTAAATTCCCATCTGGATTATAGTGACATATGTTCCTGACGTTTCTGAAATATTTATGCTTTATACAATTGGTGAATTCAATGTATTATGTTTCGATTCACTATGGAATTGATAGTGTCCATTTGATTACAAAAGATATTTATATATGTATGTGATGGCAATCAATACATGTATATAAATAGTAATTATAAATTGTTCATAGTCGGTAATTATGGATGGACTCATAATTAATTAAAACTTGAACTAGATCCGCGTTAGGTTGAGATATATTGCGAGAGCCGTCATATGCAATTGCTCCCTATCACCGTCATGGTATTTGACTCTTAAGTATGAGAAAAGTATAAACTCTTTTATTAATTAATAATTACCTTGATTTGTTCGGCGGATTCTTCGGGATCCTTAGACCGACACTTTTGGTAGTTATGTAATTAATAGTTAGAGGGTTATATTTTCGATATTTGCATCATTGCTACTTGTATTTATTTTGTATTGATTATGGTTGATCACAAAGTAAATTCGAAGGCCTTCGTGTGTTTTTAAACAAAATGATTTATTATATATTTATTTATTTAAATTATTATTTTTGTCAAACAAATGTTTTATTGTGATCGAGCCAGAAATAATCAAAGGTACCAAAATAAATATATTAATTAAGTAGTCGGATTGATAGCTTTATTTATCCGATAACTAATTATGCATAGAGGGGTCAAAGTGCAATATTGACTTAGAAGTTATTTATTATTTAATTGGAGTTCAATTAATTTCTTTTAGTGGAGTAGAAATTAATTTATGAATTAATTAAATTGGGTCCATGGACCGGGCCAATTATTAATTCATTGTAACCAATAAAATAATAGGCCCAATGGATTCTCACTCATAACCCAACTTAATATTGGAATCATATTAGATTTGAGACATGTAAATTAGAGATTGAGAAGGATTGGTTGTTTCCTTTTCTTTATCTTTATGTTGCCTATAAATATACATGGTCTATGTATATTTTAAGTGTGATTTTTATGAGAAGGAAAAAGGAATATATTTTCTCTCTCTAGAAAATTAGGGTTTATGTTCTCATCTAATGGAGGCTCTCACAAGCCTAGTTTTCCAAGGTCTTTCATGAAGGCTTATGAGTGATTCTTAAAGGCAAAACAACTACCAAAAAGATGGAGATCCAAGGAGAAGACATCTTGCTAGGGGATCTACAATAAGTGAGAACATTCACTTTAGAGGAAAGATTTAAAGGTTTACTCAGACCTTTGATGTAAGTATTCAATCTGTTAATTGAATGATACATCATATTTTATTTTTGCATAAAACTTGTCTCTATGTGATGAATCAAGATCTATGAATCAAAATCCCTCGAAAAGTTTTTAAAACTTGCATGTTTCCCACCATGATTGTACACGAAAATGACTACAATAAGGTTTTCAATTGTTTATAAATATATGTTTTCTTACCTAGGTTTGACTACGGCTTTTGCATACAAAACTCTGATTTATTTGAAAGCCAACTTTGAGATATATTCTTAATTCAGAAAATTAACTTTGATTTTACTTTTGAGAGCACACACATAAACACAAGAGTGATTTAAGTTTATGTTCTCTATCTGATCGGAATTGAAGCATAATTGAAGATTCAGAAATTCCGAAAATCAAGATTTTAATTGTTCTTCATCAAATTCATAATTGAAGAAAAGTAGTAATTTAATCACACTTTAAAAGGGTTAAGGCATTCGCGGAGAGTTGTTGATCTATCAACAATCCTTCTACAAGAGCTAAGTTCAAGGAATAAGCCTGAAGTCGTGAACTATTGGACAGGAGGTTGCAAAGTTAGGGACTTTCAGCAAGTTGAGTCTCGTTAGAGTGAAGGGGTGTGTGTCTGAGTCAAAGTGAGTTGTACCTTACTTCAAACATAGTGGATCGTTTCCCTCGAGGTTGCGAAAGTCTTCATGGTTTTCATTTCGGTTGGGTGGATTTCTTCAACTAAAGTTTCCACGCACAAAAACCCAGTGTTATCTCTCAAACTTTATTTAGTTTACTTACACTTCATTTTTTTATTAGTTTTATTTTGATAAAATTAAAATAAGTAAAAATTGGATAAAGGATTAAGGAAAACCTATTCACCCCCTCTAATTTATTTTTAATACAAACTCTCACATTCATTTCGAATTGTGCAACTCACGTATTTAGATCAAAATCCAATTCATTGATAGGTCTATGCAATTTTTATCTATTTGGAGGGGTTAGTTTAATTATCTGTAAATGCAAAAATAAACGATTTACCACGATCTGGAGGCAATCTAAAGACATTTCTCGTTGTCATTTAAAATGAGTCACACATTTCTCGTGAACAACGCCACCACAACCGCTTTCAAATAAATTAACAACGATTCAGAGTAAATTTAGGGTTCCAAATTGACCAAATAAAAGATAAAAAGTCTAAAATACCAACTGTTTAGGGACCTCCCAGCCTCGCATTTTTCAACCAAATTGGGTGTCCCCCTATATTCTCTTTGTTGCTTGTCTCTCTCTCATACCTCCCATATGTATATATACATGTTTGCCACCATTTTCCAAGTTTACAGATCAAACCACCAAGGGCACAAAGGTGGTTCATGTCACGAGGAGCCCCCAGAAGGTCTTAGGGGTACCCCTCATTCTCTGATCAAACATCAAAGGAAAAGAAAAAAAATACAAGAAGAGTGAATACAACTCAGATTGTATTTCCAAATTTTCCTTTGTTGTTTAGATCATAAACTCGTAGTTCTTCGAAACCATATATTAACAATATGGAGAAGAAGAACACCCCCATCATTGTAGGTGCTGTAGTTCTAGTGACAGTTGTTATAGCTTCACTAGTGGTGGTCACACAAACGCCCAAGATAGAACCTGCTAAATCCAATTCAATAAAGATGGCAATGGATGTGGTCTGCGGTGTCACAGATTTCCAGGATATATGCAAGAACAGACTGACTGCTGCCGGTGGCAAAAATGACCACCATCCCAAAGATCTCATCAAGCTAGGGTTCCATGTAGCCAAGAAGGAGCTTGAAGACGTAATGTCCGGAATCCACACTTTTATAAACGACTTTAAGAAGCCTGGAGTCCCTGAAGCTGTCAGGATGTGTAGAGAGCTCTTGAATGACGCAATTAGTGATATCGAAGACTCTTACAACAGGCTTAATAGCTGCTCTACTGTTGACAAGAAAGATGTAGATGTTTTGCTTTCAGACCTCCAGACATGGCTCAGTGGTGCCATCACCTACCAACAGACTTGCTTGGACGCCTTCACCGGGAAGGAAGGAGAGGCGATGAAGGAGCGCTTGAAGACATCGGACGAGCTGGCCAGCAATGGCCTTGCAATGGTCACCAAGCTCTCCTCCATTTTTGAAGACCCCAGTTTTTCCGAAATACCATCCCAAGTAGTATTTGGCGGGAGGAAACACATAGAAGAACATGAGAGTTCCCACGAGTTCCCTTCATGGGTCGACCACACCACACGCAAGCTCATCCAGGCTACTCCGGGAAAGATCAAACCTAATGTTGTGGTGGCGCAGGATGGATCAGGGAAGTATCAGACCATTAATGAAGCCATAAAGGATATCCCTTTGAAGAAAGGTGCCGTACCTGCCGGCCCCTTTGTCATCCATATCAAGGCTGGTGTTTATAAGGAGAGATTGAATTTCACAAAACAAATGAGTGGTGTTGTTCTCATTGGCGACGGCCCAACCAAAACCAAGATCACCGAAAGCAAAAGCTTTGCTGGTGATGGTATGCAGACATATGAAACTGCAACAGTTGGTAAGCCACTACTCAATAGTATATATAGTAGTAGTTTTAATTTATAAATGAAACAAGGAGTTGATATCAATTCATACGGGAGTATACAATAATTCAGGAGAATTTACTATTTGGTACCTCTATTAATGGGCATGCTTTTTCTTAAAAACTTTTCATTTTCATGTGTGAAGGTAAATTAAGAGTTTTTATAATTTTCCATTAACGGGTACCACATGTAAATATCCTGACTATTGTATACTTTATCTAATTCAAACATTAAAGCACTGAATCGATCTTAGTCACCTGCTGCTGTTGCAGAGGAAAATCATCCATACCTTATTGATAATGTAATTTTACTGTCAGTAACTTTATTATATATAATCCAAAACTAATAATAAGAGTGGAAAATAAACGATTCTATGGATGCAAAGGCTTTCTAAATTAGTAACATTATTAAATGAAATTTAAATACAATAAAGATATAGAAAATAATGACAATGCTACAATATTTAATCATGCATTCGTCAAATCATCATCTGTATATGATTGTTGTGGTCCAATATATATAAATAAAATGTTTATGTAGGTGCAAGTGGGGAACGATTCATTTTCAAGGACCTTGCAATTGAGAACAATGCCGGACCTGACGGACATCAAGCCGTGGCACTTCGTATAACTTCTGACAGGTCAGTCATCTACAACTGCCTAATCGAAGGTTTCCAGGACACCCTCTACGCTCATAACCACCGCCAGTTCTACCGCGACTGCACCATTTCTGGTACCGTGGACTTCGTAATGGGCGACGCCAAAGCTGTCTTCCAGAACTGCAAGATGCTGATCAGGATGCCAAACAAAAACCTAGCATTTGTCACAGCCCAGTCACGCAAAGGTCCTGACCTGAAATCCGGCTTCGTCCTTCAGAACTGCACCATCACCGCGGAACCAGAATTAGCCAAGGCTGGGAATAAGGTGAGGGCGTACCTCGGACGGCCGTGGATGCCATACGCCAAGGTGCTTATCATGAATTCTCAGATTGATGCTGTGATACACCCAGATGGGTGGTTTCCATGGAATAACAATACCGAAACTCTCAACACACTCTGGTATGCTGAGCTGAACAATAAAGGTCCCGGTGCCGACACGAGTAAGAGAGTGACATGGAAAGGGATCAAGAAGATTACTCCAGAAGAAGCTGAACAGTATTCTGTTAGCAAATTCATCATGGGTGATTCTTGGATCCCTTCCACCGGAGTGCCCTACCAGCCTGGTGTTGGTCCAATGGCCACGACCCCTGGCACGACCAAGAGTACTGGTGTTACCCCAACGGCCTCCACCCCTGAGGACTCAACCCCTGTAACACCTACCACGATGAAGAGTACTGATGTTAGCCCAAAGGTCTCGACCCCTGTCACACCTGTAAAGACGAAGAGTACTTAGGTGCTTATACCTACTACTAGTTAATACTACATGCATGTACTAATTAATTAATACCAATTAATTAGTACTACATGCATGTATTTTGTGTCGATCGTCCTCGAGGTTTATATATGATCTCAATATAAACACGCACGTATTTTTCATTTTATCCTATATATGCAGTTATGACACATTCGTCTAATTTTATTTGAGCAAACAATTTACGTGATGATGAAATCATAAATGCCCTCACTCACATAAATATCCCGACTCCAAATCACTATCCATAAAATAATATTTTAGTGCATTTATATTTTCATTTAGTGGAATAATACAACTCTTATACTACTATCCTTTGAGATAAGAAGGAGAGACAATGATTTGACTAAATTATATTGTAGCATATAAAATGCATGCAAGTAACCAACATAAATTGTTTATTTTTTCCCTGGAGGTAATCGATGATATAAGATTTTGCTTCAATTAAATTGACATGAGGTTTATTTTTAAAGTGACCTTCATATAATGTCTACATACGGAAATCACAAAGTGGATATGGAAATCACAAAGTGATAAGTCTGACAGTCTAATACCACAACTGATGATCTACATGCTATATACGAGGGACGTAAAATTTCATTGGACCGAATCCGGCCCAGCCCACCCCACCATTTGAGAAAGAAGTCCAGCGACTTCTTAGTCCACTCATTCTTAAATAGGGCCTGCCTTATGATGAGACGGCCCAAGAAGAAACCAAACGCGTTTTATTTCCAATTTGAAAATAAAAAAGGGGATTTTAGGGCAAGTGTAGACTTCTATAAATAGGAGAGTGAGAGAGAATATAAAAAAGAGTTGTTTGGAGTGGAAGAAAATTCTTTCCAAATATAGAGAATCATTTCTTGCATCTTCAATGTACATTGAGTCAATTTCAAGTTGTATAATTAAAAAAATTATATATAGGGTCAAATTAGACTTATTAACAAAATCAAGTATTATTTATAAACTTTGGACATAATATTTAATTAGGGTTTGTAAAATAAGGACATTAATACCTTATTTCAACTACTTTTTTTTTCTTTCGAACTTCATCAAGTCCATCAATGGACACAACGACAGTTTTAAAGGCTGCACATCCACCTTAGGGGTGGAATTTGTATCACTCCTAATTATTTCTGGTTGATTTCGAGATTGTAAAATTGCTCCAAAATCAAAAGTTGATAAGAGTTTTCAATCCCCTAATTTCGGTCTAGGTTGATATTAAGAAATGTCAAAGACTCTAGTGTTTGTATTTGGTGTGTAGGAATGAAATAAAATGCAATTACCATTCTAACATTTTTTTTTTTTTTTAGTATGCAATTCAAAGTGGAAATGGTTTTTCCATTAGAATGAAAATTCACAACTAAACTTATGAATGACCATTCCATTTCCAATTTTTTTTTTTTTTTTTTTTTTTTTTTTTTTTTTTTCAAAAAAAAAACACAACTATACCAATGAATTAAATTAAAAATACAACTATACCAATGAAATAATAAACCCAGTTGGGATGGAGTCTATGGAATAACAAATACCGAATCTCTCAACACACTCTGGTTTGCCGAGTCCTGACACGAGTAAGAGAGTGACATGGAAAGGGATCAAGAAGAATTACTCCTTGAGAGGCTGAAGAATTTTCTGCTAGCAAATTCCTAGCGGATGATTCTTGGATCCTTTCCACTGGAGTGCCCTATGAGCCTGGCATGATCAAGTCTTAGATGCTTGTACGTAGTCCTAATCAATCCGTACTTTGATTAGTACTACATGCATCCATGTACTTTGTATCCATCCTGCTGAAGGTTAACATATGATCTCACTTAAAACACGCATATTATTCTCTGCATCTTATTCATTTTGGCATATATATATATATATATATGCAGTTATGACATATCAACAACACAAAAGGAAAATGGAGAAAAAAGAAAAACAAAAAAGTAAGCAAGTGTGAGTTGTGCAGCGGAATAAGTTATGGAAAGTTTGAGTTTTAAAAACTATTTTGAGAGAGGAATAATCTCGTGTTTCTTTATTCAATCTACTCTACTAAAATTACATGTTATTTAAACAAGTACACGAATTAAGAGTTAGTAAAGTTTAGAGTGACACCGGATTTTAGCGAAGAAACCAATTAGTAAACTTCGAGGTTTTGTATGTTATCCCAAGTGTAAAAAGATCCACTATGTATGAAGCAAAGTACACTGAACTTTGACTCAGACTCAAACTCCTTCGCTCTACCAAGACTCAATCTACTGAACGTCCCTAACTTCGCGACTTCCCGTCCAATAGCTCTTGACTTCAGACTTATGTCTCGAACCATGTAGAATGATTGATGGTAGATCAACAACACTCCACAAATGCCTTGATCCATTCAACTTCTAATCCGAAATTCTTCTTATTCGAATCTGAATTTGATGTAGTAGAAATAAGATTTGTTTTCTCTAATCATTGTAGATTCAATCTTCAATAGATTTGAACACGATCATATATAAACAACACCCTAAATTCATTCATGTGTATATAGTGTATATGTTCTTAAAAATATCATAGAAAAGGCTTTTAATGAAAATTATAATTTTAATGCAAAAAGCCACACAAATCTAAGTGAGAAAATAAGTTTATATAGATTTTCAAAACCATAATGTCACTTGGAAAATAAGTTAATTTCATGCATGAGTGTTTGGAAGGAAGAGTATGCAAAATAGGTAGTTAAAACAGAATAGGAAATAAGTTACCTAAAACTAAGGGCAATGATTCAGCTATCTGGAAACAAATGGTTGAGGTTAAAAAACTGGTGTTGGATAATCTTGAGTTCAAAATAAGGAATTGGATGGATTTTAAGTTGTTAATTGATCCTTGGTGTGAGAATCAAACATTGATTCAGAAATATGGGGCTGCTACACTTAGACAGGTGGATAGAAATCTTAGAGTTGCTGATATTATTGATAATGGTGGTTGGGATAATCTTGAGTTTCTACCCGAGGTAGTAATGGATGATATTCAGAGGATAAGAATTCAAGATGGAAATGATCTTATTGTTTGGAAACATTGCAATTTTTCCTTGAAAGCATGCAGCTTAGAATGTCTGTAGATATTCAAGTCAAATACTGAGTTGGAGTTACTTAGTTTGGAGACATTGCAGGCCCAGAATTGCTGTGGGGGTTTGTATTATATATTGCACAATAAAAACTTCTCTTTGGTTAATTTGAAGAAACATGGGATTACACTTACTGTTATCTGTCATAATTGTTGGCAAAATGAAGATACAAATGACCATTTATTATGCACTTGTACCTATGCTAAATCCATTTGGCAGGAGTTGTTTGGGCTATTACAAATAGACATGTCTATGTGTAATACTTTACATCAGATTGTGGAATGGTTCAGCTTACAATATACCAAAAAATCTATCAAGACGAGGATTCTCAGTGGTATTTTTGCAACAACTGTATGGAGAATTTGGAATGTGAGAAATGCAGTGCTTCATGGTGGAGTTAAGGACCAAGCTTTTTATATTGCTAAGACTATTATGTGGGAGGTTTTGTCTTACCTTTCCCTTAGTTTAGATGATTTGAGTCTTTTTTTTCATAATTGTGGTTGTATAAAAAAGAAAAGAAAATTATGTACAAGAGCACAGAGGGCATTCCCTAAAATGACAAGCACTTCTAAGATGGAATGGATACATACATCCATCCCCTGAAAACTTAGAAAAATAAAACTAGGAAATCAGTGGATAAATCTCCACTGCCCAAGCACATTAAATCAAAGAGAATCTAAAGAAATAAATCTGAAATTGATGTATTGCATGTGTATATCCAACACCTCTAACAAAAGATTACTAGCAACAACTTCAGGATCAGTAGAAGATCCATGCAACCTAGCATTTCTCTCATACCAAACACCCCACAAAGCAGCAGCAAACAATGTTTTATGATAGCCCGTAGTAGTGAGTTCCTTATACCAGTGAAATAGGTCCTCCAATGACGTAATAGTAGCAAACTGTTGCATGTTCTACTGTAGGAACTCTCCTAACCATCTCCAAAATTTCTGTGAGAAACTACATCCAATAAACAAGTGATCAGTTGTATCCAAGGCACTATGACATAGTGTACATCTAGCCACCAAACAGATTTTCCTTCTTTGAAGATTCACCATAGATGGTACTCTATTTAATAAAACAAATATTGCAGTAATAGACCATCTAGGTCTAGCTTTTCCCCAGCAAAAATGATGCTAGACCACTTCAGCTGATTGAATTTTATTAGCTAACCAAGCTTTCTTGAAAGAAAACTTGCCATTATCCCATAGTAATTTATCCACATCAGTATGTATAACCACCAATCCCAGAAATTCTCTAAGCTGGTGTAGATCTTGACCTTGCAACCTGTTCAAATCCTAAACACCATTCCTCATTAAACTATTCAAAACAGCTGTTCGAGGAACATTTAAAGACCTTAGCACTCTATGTCCAAACTTCTAAGCAACTGTCAAACCATTACACCGTGGATCTTAAAGAGAAAAAATTGAGCCAGTTCTAATACAAAAACTAACATGTTCCAACATAGTATCTCTTTTCTCCACCACAGATTTCCAAATAATTGAGTGTGTGACTTTAGGAATAGCAGTCCAATAAGTTGAGTGAGGAGTGTATTTATTCTTGAACCATGCCACCCACAACCTATCTTTGCTAGTGAAAAAATCACAGGCTAAAACAATTTTAGAAGTATCTTGAATATCCACAAGTTTTCTCAAACCAAAGCCGGCCTCCTTCAGTTTTATCTCTAGTAATCAAATCCCAGCTCATAAAATGCAATTTCTTTGAGTGATTAGTGCTGGCCCATATGAAGTTTCTACACATTTTATGCAACTGATTAACCACTGAAACTGGAATATTATAGATGCTACACCAATACAAGAATATAGGGGTCACAGTTAATCTAATAAGCTCCACCTTACCAGCAACTGACAATAACTTAGTGCACCAGCAATTGATCCTATTAGAGACCTTATCAAATAAGCCTTGACTGTTTGCTTTCTTTAGACCAGATAGACACAAAGGCAAGCCCAAGTATTTAATGGGAAATTGATCCTTAGAGCATTTCAAAATTCTCACTATAGACTACTTTCTCCTCACCACTCTAAAG